TTTTTGGTCTGTTAGTGTGGAAATAAAGTTAATGAAAAAAAAAAATTAATCTTTTTATTTGTATCTTATTTTATTTTTGAAGATACAAAAACCATGTTCCCACTGGTGTCACGCTTGACAAAAACCGATGGAATCACATTTGTTTTACTTGGGAAAACACGAACGGTGTGTGGCAGTTGTACAAGAATGGCCAGCTCGTAGAAGATGGAACAGGCTGGAAGACAAACTACGTGATTCTATCTGGGGGAACTGCTGTCATCGGACAAGATCAAGATAGCGTGGGCGGAGGATTCGTGAAGCTAGATGCGTTTGGACCTGGTGAGGTCACAGAACTCAATCTGTGGGATAGCGTCCTTTCAGCGAGTGATATTGCTGCTCAGCACGCAAACTGTACCCTCACCACAGGATTGGTACATTCCTGGGCCCAGTTTAAAGACGGTGTTAATGGTTCTGTGCAAGTAGAGCAGCCTTGATCCAAACTGACATGGATCCAGATATCTAATTCTAAGGGTGCATTCCTTTGGGATGATCTGGATCAGGATCAGTAATCCAAGGTCACTTGGATCATGGAACATCAGAGGAACCGATGAATCCACTCTGGAGGAACCGATGAATCCACTCTGGTCATGGATTCATCGGTTCCCTTGATGTACCATGATCCGGAGTGATCTTTGATCACTGATCCTGATCCAGATCACCTCAAAGGAACGCACCCTAAGTGATCAGCTGCATTTCTGCTATTTGCTAGTAGTAGTTTGATTGGGGTATAAATGTAGCACAAGAAACTTATCCCAACTGAAGCTAAATCACAAGTTTACAAGACAGCAGCACTATTTAGAGCCTATTCGAAATGACATATCGTAGGCTAACGTGGCATATTTGTAAACAAGCAATGGACAAAGCGGAAATCTGTGGAACATGCTAACGAAACGGGACTTCTAGCAGACGAGTGTGTAATTAACGAAAACGCCTAAATCTAACTACCCTGTACCGCTGTATGTCGCTATCTTTATATTCAAGACTTCAAGACATGAATGAACATCGCAGTTATATACACAACTTCAGCAGCTAAGAAATTAAAGTCGACGTGACTTGATAGCTCAGTTGGTAGACCACTGCACTGTCATCCGAGAGGCCACGGGATGGAATCCCGTTCAGGCCTGATTATTTTTCAGGCTTTAATTTCACAGCTGCTGAAGTTGTGTACATAAATACGATGATCCATCACGTCTTCATAGACACTTATTCAAATATATGATCTTTCATGACATTCACTTGTAAAGCGGAAGTCTGTGGAACAGGTTAACGAAATGGAACTTCGAGTAGACGACTGTATAATTGACTAAAACTCTTAATCTGACAACCCTGTACTGTAAACGACTTTAAGATGTCGCTATCTTTATATTCAAAGTCAACAAAGACTGCTGCTGATGAACTGATTACACTGAATTATTTAGCCGCGCGGCATCCCGTCAAGACTAAAGTAACTTGGGGCTCAGTGAGATTTTAAGGCCATCAAGCTAAGAAAACATTCGTTGAGGTACAAAACGTTAATCCAAGCTCAGCATAAGTGATTAATTAACTAAAGTTGGGCCTGGACGTCACTGATAGAGACCAAAATACCTTAAACCCCATAGCTAGGCGTATGTTTCACGTTAAATAAAGGTTGTATTGTAATGTAACGTTAACGGCAGTTGTAATCGATATTCCCTAAGATATTACCGGGCTGATCAAAGATGAGACATGCAAAGCACCTGATCAAGGGCTGTAGTTAATTTAAACTGAACAAGGTAATATAGTTGACAGGTATTAGTAGCTGACTATCGTGTTTACACTTTGCAGTTGTTTATAAGTATTCGTAGAGGTTATCATACGGTTTCTCGTTCAATTTGGAATTAATTTGCACGACTGAGTTTTTCAAAAAGCTGAAATTGCACGAGCCGCTTCGGCGAGAGTGCAATTTCAGCTTTTTGAAAAACTCACAAGTGCAAATTGATTCCAAATTGAACGAGAAAAACCGTATGATTACTTATTGATAATAAAAACATGAAAAACTTCGCGTGGAGGAAGTGCCGAAAGATCTTTCTTGAAGCCATTTTCATTCGAGAAGCCATTCTCATTCGAGAAAACTTTTTTCAAAGTTTCTGCACAAAATTTTCGTCATCATTTTACGTGATATCATTGGCTTAGAAAATTTCCTATTGTCTCTCAGCCAATCATAATCCAGAATAACGATTTGTAATTTGCACTGGTGTTACACTTCTTGCACCGGTGTTACACTTTTTACACTGGTGTTACACTTGAACTGCACTGCTCTCAGCCAGTCATAATCGAGTAATTTTTTATGTATATTATTAACAGTGGAATCCCGATTCTCGAACCCTTATTTTTCCGAACCTCCCGATAACTGAACCAAAAGTCGTTTCCTTCTCCTGGCTGAGAGCAGGCAAATTTATCGTTAGCTATTAGTTTGCACTCAGTTGTAAATTATAGCTGGCGCGTTCATAATTTTCCCATGTTATATACAATAAAAGAGTAATTGCAACTCGAGTAAAAAGGGACAAGACCCAATCTGTTGGAAGTAGCTGCTTATGATTGCATCTTGGCTTTCACTTTGGACTCTATCATATCATATCGTATGGTAAAAGTTTTCTACGTATGATCTGCAGCCTTGCTTTAGTGTATTTCTGTTAATGGCTGATCAGATCTTTCACAAACCCCCCCGGGGGGGAGGTACTCCCAGAAAAATTGGGTGGGGTGTGCGGCCCGCTTCCCAAAACCCTTACCCTGTTTGTGACCAAAATCTGCGATATTCCATACTCGTTTATGACCTGACCAAAAATTCGAAACCCTATTTAATACCTGGACCTTAAATAAAGACTCTGTTTCAGACCTGCGTTATAATTAGTCCCTAGTTCAGACCAATGTTAAATTAAATTTACCATTGATTTACCATTGCTTTTGTTGATTTTCTTTTCGATAATGATGAAAAAGTGGCTTCTATTATATGATCCTCTTAAAAAACATACCCATATCAAGGCTAGAGTGCAAAACCCATACCCTATTTATGACCAAAATAGCCATAATCAGCTAAAATCGATACCCCATTTATGACCAATACGGCTGAAAAACCATACCCTCTGGGGCCGCACGTACCTATATAGCCCATATAAGGGAGTAGCCCCCTCCCCGGGCACAAATCCTATGTGTACCAGCAGCGTCTTCGTTTGTGGTACCTTGACACCTCTACATTTCAAATATATCACTCGCGGTGTAAGTTCATAATTGCACTGGCATTCATACCATTAACAATACGTGTTTGAGTAGGATTAACTGTAATTATAGTAGTTTATGGGTGTCTCCAATTGGTTAGCCTGGCTGGCATGCTAGAAACGTAGCTAAGTTTAGACACATCAGTTAAGTCTTTCTTTGTGGTTATAATTTTCCAGTTCCAAACTAAGTTCAAGCCTTATTTCAAGGCGCTAGGGGTTTGTAAAACGAGTGCTCATCTCTCTCGCTGACTCGTCCCAAAAACTAAACTAAGGTAAAGGGTAAAGTTAAACTTTATTTAGCCAGGGTGGACCATTCAGCGACGAGGCTGATATCCAGAGGGGCCCTGGACTAAAAATATAATAATTAAAAATACAAGACATCGTGATAATTTCAAAATACAAGATAAAATTTAAGAAATACAAGATATAAATTTAAAAATACAAGTGATAATTAAAAGTATAGAGTGTAAACGAGCATGCAATAATTTATAAAAATCTAGTTCCTATATAATTTAGGAAAGTGACTCGGCGTTTTGAATGCTACTGGGTAGGAGGTTAAAAAAAGCTGAGCCCGAGCATCTAAAGGTTCGTTTTGCAAGGCTAAGTTTGGGTTTGGGCAGGTGCCAATCTGTTCTTCTGCGAGTATTGTAGTTATGCACGTTATAATTTCTTGCGAAATAGTCACTCAAAAATTTATATTGAAAAACTGTCTTACCTCTCTGCTAATTGATTTTTAGGAGAGAGTTGAAATCTTTTGTTCCTTTCCTATCCTTGTGTGTTAGCTGTTGTATACCGAAGGCGCTTAATTTCCCATTTCAATGGCAGCGGGCCACTAGTCAAGTCTTCAATGGATTGAATGCCAGCTCAGAATCGTAGATCAACTGACAATATAACGAATCTTAGAGCACTAATGACATGTATTATGGCTGATTGGAGACTTTAATAGTAAGGCAACCATATATCAGTTACGTTAATTTCGAATTAATTGTTAATCCCAGGGAGATGATTGAGTTTGCACAGATTTCCTGCTACCATATGCTGTAACTGAATTCAGGACGCCGTTAAATAAGTGGCAAGTAAATATATTGAAGAATTTTCGTAAATTCGCCCTCCAGCCATCGGCAAAACTTTCAGAAAAATATTGAGGTTAAGTTTCGGCAACTTTGAACAAAGATCCTTTCTAAGTAAGCAATCTATTAATTAATTCGTAGACTCAGTTAATAAATAATAAATGAGGTTAGGGTGTTACCAGTATTTCTGGGAAGTTAGGACAAAGTCAAGATCCATTTTGCTAGTCATGAATGGATTCGTGCCGTTATCAGCAAGTACATTTATCTACTTTACCTGTCAGATTTTAGATGATGGCTTCTGTGACGCCACTGATTTGGCTGGTCTTCAACGCGACCCGAACAAACAACTGAGATTTGTCCAATTCATAGAGCATTTTTATCCTGTTCTTGACGTTCCAAAAATTGAAGGAGTCGCTGTTCAAACGGGAAGTCAATGCCTGCTGCGGTACGTCAATAACGATCGCTGTTTTTCCACAAACGTTAGAGTGTTTCATCTACCAAATGGAAAAATCTGTTGTGACTTACTTCCAACTGACAAGTACAATGCATCCGAGAAGTTCAAAGTGAACCATACCTATCATCATTACATCGTTAGGGTGAGTATTACTCACTGATTTATTGTAAGAAGTTCTGTCAGGATTCTAGATGGAATCGCTTTATAGCCTTTGAATAGCCAGTATGGAACTCGCGAGTTAGCAAATCGTCAAACCCGGGGTACTCCTGGTGGTGTTACCCTAGCAGCTGGCCCGAATGGCAAGACTGGTGGCTCGTTCCAGTTTACAGGACAAGCCAGCAGTTACATTGAGTTCCCTAACAATAGAGGGCTAGATACAAAGCGTTCCATCACAATGTTACGTTGGCTGTATCCCCAGAGTGCAGACGTGACGGACCAATCTTCAATTATAAAACAAGTGGTTCATGGGGTGTTCACATGTGCGTGGTATCAGGAAAGCAGTTTGCTCGTTTTACGAAAAGAAATTATCAATTTACACAACCTCTGACTACCAGTGAGTCTCTTGCGCTCAACCAATGACAGTTTTTTTTTTAGGGGAGCAGGGATGACGCAGTGGTGAGAGTGCTCGCCTCCCACCAGTGAGTCGTGGGTTCGATTCCCGGACCCGGCGTCATATGTGGGTTGAGTTTGTTGTTGGTGCTCTTCTCTGCTCCGAGAGTTTTTCTCCGGGAACTTCGGTTTTCCCCTCTCCTCAAAAACCAACATTTCCAAATTCCAATTCGATCCTGGAATGTACGGGCATCTCTGAACGAGTTCTTGTGAACTCCTTGG